GTGTTTTGGCTTGAAGATCTTCCACAGCTACTCAGCAAGAGCTGCACAGATTAAAAGGAGACACAGGTAAACACAGAACAGTGCTTACTGCCAACTATTTCCCTGGAACAAAGGAATGACCAGAAATGGAGTCCTTGCCTTGACTGAGTGGCATGGGTTCATCCTCACTGTGTTCATCCGTGCCAAAGAAGGCAGAGACAATAGGAAATGCTGGACAAACCTATTCAGCCTCTATTTAAGCAGCACCTGGATCCGGAGCCTGAAGCTGGAGAGCTGCAGCTGCTTAAAACACTGAATATGCCTCCAACCTCAAGAGCCCACAGGAGCTTCACTGCAGTCAGCCTTCACTCTTCTTCTTCACCCATTTCCAGAAGAGACCCTGAACCACTGCTCTTCCAGCTTTTCACTCCCTGAGACTACAGACACCTGCGTCCCTCCTGCAAAGCAAGATTCTGGTCTAGTCCCAAACCAACCTACATCCATATATGCCTTGCAAGCCTCTTTTCCTCCCTTACTGCTTGCACAGCGATATATTCAGAAGGTACAGGAAGACTGAAACAGGAGATGGTCTTCTCCACAAAGAAGAAAGTCTTCTTCCTTCAGTCTGGTCCTTTTTTAGGCACACCAGCTGTCCACTCTAAACCAAATGGCAAAGTCAACAGTTCCCATTGCAATGCAAAGGTGGATTTGCTGGTCCTGTGTGACTTCAGAGGTGACCTGACACTGCTCCTTCCTGCAACACCCAACAGCAGTGCAGGAAAGCAGCCACTGTGATAGGCAAGAAAAAGGAGAAAGCTGGCAGCTCATCAACACAGCACAGCAGATCCTGACAGGGTCTGGTAGGATGAAGGAGGTGGAAGTGCAGGACTCTGAGCAGGCCACCTCCCCCAGAATCAAAAATCTCTGTGCTTGCTTCAGTGGTGTCAGCATTAGAAAGCAAGCAAAAAAGTTTCTAGAAGACCCCAGGGCCCCTCACCTTACCAGCAACTCCCTCTGAACAACCTCCTTAGAAACCAGAGCCCAACATTTTTGGACCGCTGAAAGCTCACACGGACATGAGGAACAAGACGTGACCCATGTGCAGAGCCTCCAAACCATGACAAAGCCCAGGAAATGGCCACTGCTCTAGCAGCAGCCACATGAAAAGCCTGAAAACCTGCAGCATCCCCACCCCTTCCTCATCAGGTCTCCCCCAGAGAACAAATCCTTCTGTGTCTAGCAGTGTGATTGCTTTTTTCAGGCAAGGCAGCACACAAGGTATGCTGCAGGCACAGCATAGCCCTTTAACCCTTCTGTGCAATACAACATCTGCTCTTCCAACAGACTGAAAGTATTTTTAAGTAGCTCTGGGATGCCACCTCCCAATATCTTCCAGGCAAGGAGCAAGACATGGAATCACCCCACCCACCTTGGCACCTCTGCCATGCTGAAACACACTGAGCCCAGGAAGCAACATGTTACCAACTGTCAAATTATCATTTCTCCATCTCTCTTCCTCCTCTTCTCACAGACACAGTTCATTTCTTATAAAGGTGGAAGACACTACAGTTGCCCTTCTCCCACCTCAGACATTATCAGCCTTCTCCAGCAGGTACTGCCATGCCAAAGGTGGGGCTGCCTCTTTCCCTTACACAGCAAAATCCACTGTGCTGGTTCACAGCCTTTGCAAACCCCACCAAACCCAAAGCTAACACCCTGTGCAACTTAAACCTCATCAAGAAGAACGTTCCTGTGCGTCTGCCAAGCCTCTTGCTAGTCTCGCTGCCCTCCAGGCCTCCAAAGAGCTGCCTGTCCCAGCCCCTGAGACCGACACTTCATGTTAGGAGAATGAGAACTGTTCCTTGGGGTCTGGACAAACAATTGCATGTCCTAAAATCTCAGGGGAATTTCCCTCCAAACACCACAGCGGCAACTGCCTTCACAAAGAGCACGTTTGTACCCAGGTCTGTCCACTTCTAAATAAGCATTTGTTCCAAGCTCCCAAATATCGAAAGCAGTGGAAACACCCACTGCTAATGTGAAATATTTTGCATTCCAGGCCTGAGAGGTATGCTTGAAAATGTTCAGAGAGGAAAGAGTGTTTATTCACTGGGAAGAGGTGTACTAGGTCCTGCTATTTACTTTAGTCCACGTGTGCTTGCTGGAATACAGCTTTGATCTTTTCAACTTAAATAGCAGATGAATTGAAATGAATGCAAGAAAAATATTAGTGTAGAGATCCTCTAGTAAATACCTGTAACCAGACCCCACAGCCTTCAGATCCTTTTGAAGTGCCTTATCACTTACAGCCAAACTGGCCCTCATGTTCTTGTCCACTGCCTCAAGGTGAGGCTGTTCTCTTCCTACCCCTTTCCTACCTTCTTCCCTCCATTCCCTTTGGGCTCCATGGCCTTTAGAGGAAGAGCAGCCTGCCTTCCCAGGACACATGCCTATCTGCTTGGATCCAGCATGAACCAGCCTTTGGCCAAACGAGGTGAGACCTACCATCTGAGCAATTAGCAGATGTGAGCTGCCATCCCCTCACCTCCCTTGAACAAGAGGGATTCAGGATGGGAAGAAACACGTTGCCAGTCAGCAAGAACATTCATCACCCAGCACACAACTGAACACAGGTGCTTGCTGCAGTTTAAACATCTGCATTTAGAAGATGGTCTCATTCCAGGTCAATTAAGAGATCAGAACACATCTTTAAGGGATCTTTAAACACAACAGCCCCCTGACCAATGCCAGTTCCCAGTGGTTCTGGAGCCCACTGTAAAAAGAAGTGCCTATGGCCACAACTATGGAGTTGCCATGCCTTTGAAGCTCCTGCCACTTCGAGGTTCCAGCCTGCACTGTCTGAACACAGCCAAGTCCCAAGGGGGATCAGATCATTCCTGTTTTCATAAATTTTCTTCTTTAAGACCAGGCTTGCTAGGAAGGGTGAGAGAAGCACTGCCATACAGAAACACACAGCTCAACACAGGACATGGAGGCATTTCCAGAACAAAATAAGACCTTTTGGTTTTGGGTTTTTTTTTTTCTGCTTGAAAGGAAAGTTGACTCAGCAAATATTTCCTCTGCTAGCATTTCAACCACATGTTCCAGCAGAAGTCAGCACACATCTGGCATGCTGCAGTGCCACTGCCAGAAAGATCACAGCTTCACTGAACAATGGAAGTGGAGGAAGAGGGAGCAGCAGTCCAGGCACCGAGCACTTCTGGAACACATACATGGCAAAGGACCGGCGTGAGCCACGGATACTCCACACCTCCCAGGTCTTTCTCCAGTGCTCTTTCCAAACACCATCCCCAGGCAGAGAGACAATGCCCTGCAGCCTACAAAACTTACCACCAGCCTGTAAAAGCTAAGACATCAAACTGCACGTTTTGGCTATGCTGATGGCACCTGAGATTTTTTACAGTGTCTGCGAGCTGGACAACTGCATGTTACCCCCAGTGCTGTAGGATGTGATCCTGCTCAGCAAGAGAAACAAGGAGGAGTGTACGTGATTGCAGCAGTACAGAAACTCCAGTGACTGCAGAGTGGCAGGAAAGGCAACACGCAGCCCCCACACGCAGGTTTGCACATCCCAGCTGCCAGTGGTGGCCTCCTGGCACATAGGGAATGCTGTAGCAGGTCCAAAGGGCCCTACGACTTTTAAGCAAGCACTTCCTCGCCAGAAAGAGCCTTCCCAAAAGGCTGCCAAGGCGGATGGCAATCACGGTGCTAATCAGCTAAGTAAGTGCTGCTTTTCGTGCTTATCAGCTGTAAATTGGACAATACTTGCCGCCTGGCAGCAGGGCTCAGCCACTGCTCCAGATATGGGTGGGCAGCAGCCCAGTAGATATCTTTCCCTCAAAGGCAGTATTCCACCCAGGTGCTAAACTAAGATTGCCCTTGATTTTACAGCACAAGCTGCAAAGCACACTCTACAACTACGCACGGTGAGACAGAAGGGACTGCAAACAGCTACTGACAGGGTTCCTAAGTGAAGAAACGAGGTGATGTGCCATGGGGCAGCCGTGGGACCCTTCAAAGCCGGGCTGGAAGACAGCTCACAGCCCCTGTGGCTCCCACGCACAGCCAAGACCTTGAGCTCCTCAGACAAGGAAAATGGTGCTCGGAGGTCAGTGGCGAGAAACCCCACAGAGCAGAGCGAGAGAAGGAGAGTTGAACAGTGCGAAAAGCAGCAGCCAGGAGAGCCAAGGGGCCGCGGAGCTCGGAACGGGCAGGCAGAGTGGCACGGGGGGCGGGGCAGAGGGCTCATCCAGATGCGCTCAGCAAGGGACAAAAACCCCTCAGCGGCCGGGAGGTCAATCTCCGCGGGGGGCAACTCACCGCGTGCCCACTGTTTTTCCTCCAGGCTCTGATCTGACCAGAATTCATAGGAAAAAACCACGCGCTACTCCGCGCAGCCTTCCCGGTGTCAACCCTGCCCACGGGGCCGCAGGGGCGCGGGTGGGAGCCAAGCCCCGCTCCCGGGGTCTCCAGGAGCCCTCCCCAGAGCGCGCTGCTCCGGGGGCGCCGGTTCGCCGTCTCCCGGACGGCAAATGTCTGGCGTATTTGCATCCCTGTGGATTTCGGCACGACGCTCCCCTTTCGGAGCGGGCGGGCGGGCAGGGCGAGCCGGCGCACGCCGGGGAAGGAGAGCCGGGCGAGGCGCCCCGGCGGCTCCCGCAGCACAGCGGGGCTGCGCGGGGCGGGGGCGCGGCCGGCCCGGAGCGGGGAACAGATGGGGCCTCACGCAGCCCCTGCTCCGCGCCCGAGTCCGGCGGGACGAGCGGGCCCCATCGCCGCCGGGCTCACGGGAAGCCGGGGGAGCGCGGACCACCGGAGGTTCGGCCCCGGACACGGCTGCTCCACCTTCACCCCGGGGCCGGCCGTGGACCCCCGCCCGCCGGCCCCGGCGCGGCCCAGACTCGAGCGGAGGCGCGAAGCTCCGCCGCCCCCGCCCCGCCGCCGGGACCCGCACTCCCTGCCCGGGGCAGGCTGCGGCGGCTGTCCCGGCCCGCACTCACCCAGCACCAGCAGTGCCCGCACCGCCGCCATCCTCCGCGCCGCCGCCATCCCCCGCGCCGGTCAGCGTGCCCGCCGGACCCCAGCCATGCCGCCGCCGCCCCGCCCGCCGCCGCCGGGAGGGGTTCCGGAGGAGGGGCGGCCACCGGAAACCGGGCGGGGTCGGGAGGAGTGGGGTCCCCCCGGCAGCGCCCGGCTCGGCCCCCTGTGCCTCCGTCGCGGTGCTCGAGGCTCAGGGCTCGCTGGCGCCATCCCCCGCAGAACCCCGCCGGCCCCGGGGGCGGGAGGGTCGCGCCGCTGTCTGCGTACCCCCCTGCTCCTGCCAGCGCCCCGAGCAGCGACGAGGGGACGCAGCTCCCCTCCCGCCCAGGGGCTCCTCGTAGCCGGGCTGTTTGTTAAACTGATGGCAGGAGATCCCGGTCTGTACCGCTGTGAAAGACCCCGTGAAGGCACCGGGGCAGCGAGAAGCTTTGCACCCTGCTACGGGCACAGGGCTGGACACACAGTCCCAATGCACAGCACGCTGCCGGCTCTTTGATGCTGCCGGACCCAAGCTGAGGCACAGCAGCGAGAGGTGGTCTGGCCATCTGCACGGCCCAGACTGGAGCCTCTCTGCCCGACCCAGTGCCTCTGGTGGAACCTGCTGCAGCCCTGCACCACCGGCTCTGGCAGTCGTCACTCTGAACACCAGCTTTCCAGCCGGTTTGTTGAGCCTCCAAAATACTGGTTTTGGTACTGTGTGGAACACTAGCCATCAGACATGGCCCTGAGCACTGCTGGATCCATCACAGAGGATGCTGGAGCCTTTACTCAGCAAAACCTGTGGCACAGGATTGGAGTGTGCTTGCTGCCCTGTGTGGCTGCACCAGAAACCCCCACCATTGCCACGTCCTGTGAGACCACAGAGCTGCTCACGCAGGGCATGCAGCTGTGGAACTCTGCCAGTAACCACAGACCAGTCCCCTCTCACAGGAAAGCCACCACCTCCTGCCACCAAAAGCTGCTCTGGTTTTGGTTGGGGACCAAGCAGCCTCAGAGGAAGTGGTAGCCTATTCAACTCCCTCTAGAAAGGAAGTTTTGCTTCCACCTGCAAGCTCAGGGTAAGCAAAGCAGCTGATAAGAGAAAGGGTCTCTGTCCTACACACACTAGCAGACTTTGCTCTCCTACTGGTACTGAGCCACCTGATCCCAGCTTCAGGGAATTCTCTTTCCCCAGGAGGGAAAGTGAGCTAAGCACTGCTGATCCAGGTATCATGACTTCTCTGAGGAGCACTTGCCACATCAGCCCTCAGTGCTGCGGGTCATGACTGCATCTCCTGGGTCCATATTGCCTTTAGTGCTCCAGGAACAAGAACTGTATCACAAGGTAGCCAGGAAATCACTGTCTGCCCTTGCTGTGCTTACTCAGACTCTGCCTCAGGCTCCCTTGCAGAGAAGGGTGTATCATGCTCAGCCCCACTCTTCCCACAGCCACAGGCTGGGCATCCAGGCTCCCCACAGCCAGAGGGCAAGCCAGCCTGGAGGGGACAGTAAGCAGCACCTGACTGGAGAAAGAACTGTCAGAAGCCACCTGTGCTGCTGGGCAGTGAGAGCACAGAGAGCACGCCTTCCAGCCATTCCTACCCCCCAGCTGCACTATAGGGACAAAGGGCCAGAGCTGGAGTTTGAGCAACAGTGGCAGGCAGCAAAGCATACAGCATGAGAAAATTCATTGGGAACTGTGTCAGAAGCAGTTAAAAGGCTCTCCACACCAAGCCTGTTAAGCACATCCCTGCATGAGTGCACCAGTTCCTGCAGCCAACCAGCAGGACATGCAGTTGCATTTGAATTCTCACCCCCAAAGATCAGGTGCCCACGTGGCATACAGCCACAGTATCCAACTTCTGCACCAGGGGAAAATGAGGGAGACCCCATCCAACAGACAAACCACCTTACCTGCAGGGGAATGTGCCCACAGTTCTTGCAGCAGCAACAGAAGCAGCCTGTGCAGTAATGCAGAGGGTGTGCTTGGCTGAACAGGAAGCACTAACCTGGGCTAATTAGAGCCACAGCTTTGCAGCCTGGAGCATCTCCAGGAAGGAGACAGCAAGGCTCTTCCCAAGCCAACCCAGCTGTCCCCATTCGCACCATCAGTGATCTGTAGCTGCAGTGGTTTGAGCTGGGTTTATTTACTGTTGGCACTGCCAGCTTCCCCCAGGAAAGCATGATGGTATTCATGGATGTGAAACTCACTAATCAATGCACAACACAACACAACACAACACACAGTGCTCCCGCTCCTGCTGCTCTCTGGACCTACCCCTCTCAGCTCACAGCAGGTCTGCAAAACAGCACCCACAAGAGATGGACAAAGGCTGCCAGCGCCCTAGTCCTGGCTGAGGAATGGTGAGTGACAGCCAGGGAGGCACTCAACGGTCCAAAGAGAGCCACCCCAGCAGGAAACATTCAGGATTCACACCTGAATTCAAGCCCTTTTCCCCTTTGAACGTAACTGTCTCTGTAGCACCATTTCAGTGGCTCTGTTCAGGACAGGCAGCCATTCTCACAGGAAGCAGGCAGAGGCCACACTGAGCCCCACATATTGTACACAGTCACTACAGTGCCCTGTAGACACCATCACCTTGTGATGCTGTCCACCAGCCTCCCTGGCACAGCTCTGCAAGCCCAGTGCAGGTCAGGCTAGCACATCACACAAGCCCACACGGATACTGCCTTAATGAGCCCCCACCACGTGCTTCCCATCAACAGCTTGCTCTAGAGGTCATCTTTGGTGCCAGCTCCAGCTCCAGCCTCAGCTGCGGGGGCTGGTGAAGTGCAGGCCAGGCAGGATTTCCCCTGGCAGGACCCTTGCAGGGCAGGCTGGAAACCCACCCCAGAGTCTCTTAGTCTCTCGTTGTGTGGCTGAATAGCGGGTGGGGATGTGCTCTGTCTCCTCTGGGTCAGAACTGCCATCCACAGCGGGTCCAGTGGCGCGCTGGCTTGCGGTGACGGAGGGGACTCACTCGGCCCGGCAGATGAACCAGATCTCATTGCGGCGCTGAGGGATGCTGGGGTTTTCGTAAGAAGCCACGATGTAGGTTCCCTGCAGCACCATGTCTGTGGAGCCCAAGAGCTCCCAGAAGAGACTGATCTCCCGCAGAATTGTCTCCTCGGTGGTCATCCCATAGAAAACCCTGCAGCAGCAACGGGAACAGCATAAGCAACAAAGCCAGCACATTGGCACAGCCAGAGCTCCCATCCCTCTGCCTAACGAACCACAGCAGCCACGCAGGGAGTTTGTACATCTCTGCTGAGCTGAGAAAACACCTCTGGTGCTGGGGTCACCTGGTTATAACCCGGAGTGGTGCCCTCTCGGTGATGTGGATTTCGGGGTCCATGGGAACAGGGGGGTTTTGCTGGAACTGTGCTGGGAGATAATAGGCAGTCAGGACCTCACGCTCCAGCTCGGTCCCCTCCTTGGTCAGGTGGATTTCGTTGAGCACTGGGACTGTCATGCCCAGATAGCAACCTGGAAAGAGGCAGGCAGGCAGTGAGACAGGTGTGTTAGCAGCAGCAGCCCTCCTCCCCACTCCTCCTTTTCCAGTGGCAAAGCCCTTCCCTCTGTGCACTCTGCCAGCCCCTCCAGCCCCTGCCTGCACACACCTACAGAGTTCTCCTTGCAGATGTAGCGCATGAGCTTCATGAAGCTCATGGAGATGCTCTGCTCATACATGGGCTCCCCCATGGTGACACAGGCCCACTTCCCAGCTGGGTACTGCCGCTCCTCGTAGGCCGCTTCTTCGCACTGAAACAGGCCACAGACAAGCCAAGTCAGGGCTGAGCACACTGACAACACCGCAGCAGCTGGGTGGAAAACCAACACTGACAGGCAAGAAGCAGGGAGACATGAGCCTGCCAAAAGGAGAGCCCCTGCTAGGCAGTGGTTGGCAGAGCAGGACAAAGAAGGTGAAGGGAGCTGGCATCACACACACCTCAGACAAGGATACTTATGAGCACTGGGCAAAGGTCAGAAGTCAGCAAAAGGGAAGGCACAGACAAGGGACAGGGTGCAAGGGGGTCTGGAGGCTCCTGGCATGCACAAGGAATGCAGCACATCCTCAGCAAGGGGCACAGGACTTTCAGTTCCTCTTTGGTCCGGCCTACTCACAAGGATGTTCCTGATTCCAGGCACCCAAAGGCCTCCAGTAAGGCTGATGTTGTTCTCAGGTGCAGTGCCTTTTCCCTGGAACACTGCATGCACAGAGGATAACAGAAACATCCCTACCCAGCAGAAGGGAAAATCTGGCAGAAGAGTTCTAGCACCCAGAAGAATAGCGAAGACTGGAATAAAACTCCTCAGATCCTTCTCCCATACTAAGAAGTGACAGGAGGAAGAAGAGAATGAACCCAGCTGTGGAATTTTGTGGTATGAGTCAAAATCTCTATTTCCAACACAGAATGTCCAGTATTCTGAACAAACCTGACACAGAAGGGGGGCAAGGGGAATGGGGAAATTGCATCTGGGTATGTTCATAGGTCAGCTCCTGGCATGTCTGTGACCACAGGTAACCTAAACAGGCGCTGGGAAGTTGTAGCCAGCACCTCTCTTCCTACTCTCAGCTTGTTCTTCATCCAGATCAAAGTGGTCATGAGACAATCTCGTCCCACAGAGCTCAAGGCGTCTTCCCAAACTTCTTGCTTCCACAGCTGTGATAGTAGTGACATAGACAGGAAGCTGTGACAAGACTCAGCACTGGGTGCAGCCTCCCTGTGCCTCCACCCAAATCAGGTGTCTACCCTGAAAGCCAAGCCAAAGGCAGAAGGAAGGCAGCAGCTTGTGTGCATCAGTGGGATGCCAGTAAGAAGAGTGCCCCAAAACACTGTGGGCATTCCCCCTCTAGCTGGGGCCGTGCCTGCCATTGTCCCAAAAAGCAAAGCAGAGCAAAGCAAGAGCATTTTCCAAGCAAGGAAATCACCAATCCCTCTACTCCATCTGCCATACCACCTGCAACAAACAAATCATCCCAGTGAAGTCACAGCATGTGGCTGTGCCACAGCCTGATCCTTCCACTAAGCACCACCACTCTGGATGACACTTGTCCAAAAGAAATACGGAAGATGCTTCATGCAGACACAGTAGCAACAGGTCCCTGCAATGTGAGCTGGGGAACTGAGCCCTGACTGAGCTGGGGGCTGAGTGCTGACAGGGCACAATGCTGTAGGTGGCATAATAATTCACTTGCCTCCAAGAGGATGAGGGCTTGTAGCACTGATAGCTCAAGAAAAGCAACCAAATCCTACTGATCTGCCTGAGCCTGGCAAACGTGTCCCTAAGAGCCCCAGCTCCAAAGTCCCCTCAGTGCTGATGTCAGGCAGTGGCTCTTCT